TCCTTCTAGATTATTATTTTCATAACGTATGTCGTCCTCCATCACCCCTCATCCACTTTTCCATTGTTTGTCCCCCTTGAGAGTGGATTATAGGTTGATCCTTGTGATCAATTCCCCATTTCTACCCCACCCTCGCCTAATCCTCCTGGTATCTCTACTCTCATTGTTGGCACGGGGGGGGGGGGGGGGGGGGGTGGGTATCTATCCTGGATTCCCTGTGTTGCGGGCTCTTGTCTGTAGCAGTGTGAATGCTCTTGTCTAATGGATTTGTAAGATAGAATTGAGGTCATGATATTAGGGGAAAGGAAGCACCAAAGAGCTAGAGAAAAGTTATGTGCTCCATTGGTGCTATACTGCACCCTAACTGGCTCATTTCTTCCCTATGACCCCTCTGTGAGGGGATGTCCAATTGTCTACAGATGAGCATTGGGTCTCCACTCCATGCCTCTCCCCACCCCATTCACATTGGATATGATTTTGTTCTGGGTCTTAGATGTCTGGGACCTGATCCCATCGACACCTCATGATCACACAGGCTGGTGTGCTGCTTTGTGGGCTTTGTTGCTTCTCAGCAAGATGGCTACTTGTTTATCTTCAAGCCTTTAAGACCCCAGACATCATATCTGCCCATAGCCGGGCACGATCAGCTTTCTTCACCACATTTGTTTGTGCACCCATTTTGTCTACAGCATTTGTGTCGGGTAGGTGAGCATCACAGAATGCCGAATTGTTAGAACAACGTGTTCTTGTGTTGAGGGAGTTCTTGTTGACTCAGTTTTTCGTCATTAGTGTAATAGCTGGAAATCTAAAAAATATTTGAGAGTGTTTGCCTGGAGCAAACATTCCTTCACAGTCAAGATTTTAAAATGGTTTGGGACCAGGACCACAGTAGCAGGACCAGGCTGGTTCAGTACCCTCAGCAAGAGCACTGGCAGCCTTAGGCCAAGGTGGCTTGGGGCCACCGTGGAAGGGGCTATGGCTTTAGCAGGCCATTTCAGTGTTCATGGCTTCCTCTCAAATAGGAGCGAGGTCAGCATGCGCGGAATTGGAGCGAAAGTAAAACCATCATTACAATTGTTTATGGATGAACAGTGGAAGCCTTTTAACTGAGCAAATTATGATGGGGGAAAGTTATAACCTGATCACTTGCCCACACCGAAAACAAGATGCTGTCCCATACAGCGCCAGGACATTGTCCTCCTACAATCTGTCCAGTCTCGGGTAGGTCAAGGGTTGTTCACAGAAGTTGGACGCCTGTGGGAAGTGAACTTGGGAAAATACTGACTGAGTTCCCACTTTCCTAAATGGAACCAAGAGTTTCACATCCGCACATTCCATTATGACACCACCCAGATTCACAGCCTGTGCTACATTTCCAGATCTTTCCGAGCTGCCATTCCAAACAGTGTGTTTGACTTCCCTGATTCACTAAACACAAGTATGTAGTAATCTGCCCTTTAATGGCCTCTCAAAATGACAGACCAAATGGCTTTGTGAAGGTCAAGTCTGATTTAAATTGTTGATGAATTAGTAGCTAATTCTGCATGATTGAATATTAATAGGGAACAGTGATAAGTAAGGCACTTCAGAGCTTAATGAGCACATTAATGAATAGGACAAAATGTTTTTCTTTTCACCTCATGTAAGAGTTTAAAACTACTAACATATTGACAAATTGTTAATTTCCGACCCTTGCTCTGTTCCCCCCACCATCATCAAAAGTTTATGTGGTTAAAAGATAAAGGGTATTGATTTTGATTCCTAAGCTCATCATGTGACATATTGGATGAGCTGTCCAAAGTGATGTTATCCAATGGCGAAAGCACTTTCATATAAATCGCTAATAATTGTAGAAGGTAAAAGAAGCAGAAGAGATGAGGGGAAAAAAGGCAATTAACATCTTCTAAACTACACCCACTGAGATAAGCATTCCAATTAGAAATTTCATTATTTCTACAGTTCATTTTATGTTGAATACTCGGTTTTATTGCCAAATACCTGACAGTCAAATTGGAAAGAAGCCACAACTGTCAAACTGTAGCAGCTCTGGCTATTTGAATCGTTACATTGTGGTGTTGCTCATGAAAATTTAATGAAGAAAGTGCATTTAAAGAGGTTCTGTATGGGGGGGGGGTGGAATTTAATCACCCTTATTAAAAATAAGAAACGAATGATCTTTACATTCTGGGTCCTATTAGTATGCAAGAAGAATTACCTGTGTTGTGCATTTGCGTCTCAGAAAAGGCGGGGGTTGGGGGTGGGCTCTAGAATGTTCTTTCTGAAGCCAAGAAGGAAAAGCGACATGGCGTCCATGTGTTAGGCTGCTTGGGGTGGGCACACGTCCGTTTTGTCCACTCTCCCCAAGGGAAAGACGTTATGTCTTCTGCGTGGACATTCAGGTTCCGTTTCTTTGGTGAGAGCCGTCAGGAAGTGGTTCAACAATCTTAGGCCTTTGACATGTGCCGCAGATGGGCCCCGGATCGTGCCTTGGTTCTTCGGAAAGGTGAACGGTGGAGGCAAAGTCAGGGCCACGAAGGGCGCATACAAATGTAACTAGTAGGGAAACACTGGCAGGGAGGCACAGAGCAACTGGAGGTACAGAACCGCGCAAGAATCCCAAGGTACCCTTAAAAAATTGTTTTTTAATTTGCCTAAGTGGATGGCTTTGGGGGGATCTGGCACTTCTGAATGAATATTAGGACTTTTTAATAAGGTGACGTTCTGGGTGTCAGAGGAAGTACCGTTGACTTGGGAACACTTGAGGGGAGTTATTTTTATCCTTTGAAGCACTTGTATGTTGATAGCAGTTGGGTGAGATGTTTAATAATGCCATGTTTGTTGTCTAGCAGCTCGGATCTCTCTCCTCTTCTGATTCTCTGCTGCCCTCTTCCCCCTTAAAACTGACCTATCGATGTAAATGCATCGGCAAAACCTTTAAAGCCATGAAGGACAGGAGGATGACATTCAAGTGGGAGAGATGGTGAAAGGCAGCTGGGGCTCATGCGCAAGATACATTCCATCCCTCCATCCACACGTACTTTTTAACGCTCCACTGTAAATCTCAGAAAAGCGTCGGGAAATGTCATTCTTCGCCACGCCTTGGTGTCTCCTCCTTTTTAAAATGTTGTGCTTTGTGGGCAGGTCCAGAGAGCCGGTTTGTTTTCCATCTAATAGTTGGCACACATCTAATAGTTGGCACAACCATCTAATAGTTGATCCACCAGTGTGACAGCCCTTTTCAGATACCTCTCTGGGTTCGAGCCCCTGGCTTCCTTCTTCCTGCCCCTTCCTGCCTTCTGAGCTTCATTTGAGGTACAGCCTACCCGGGGGGCTTCCAGAGTCAATTATCCTGGGAGTCCATGCCTCTGGTTCATTTGACAGATCCATTGTTTGGCTGGCAGGGTACCTGTGGGGATGGGTTCAGTCCCTGGTGTGAAGGCTGTTGAAGAGTCCTTATCAGTCCCGAGTCTCAGCAATCTCCACTGGGCCTCTTTTATGATTTTAAACTTTGTTTCACACTTTGTCCCCCTCCATCCAGGACCTCCTGTTGTCTTTGCCATGGTTTCAGACCCTCGTTGGTTGTTTATAGACTAGTGATTGGTTGGCTGTGCGTGAAGATGTGTAAGCATTCATTCACCTATCACTGTCTTCTCCAGAAATGCTTTGGCCTTTAGTCTTGTCAGTAGATTCCAAAGATAACCTTTGACATATGTGCTCGCTAGCTCTTGCCTAACTTGACGTGAGAATCATTTAGGTTGCATGCTCAAGAAAGCACTCCCTTTGCCCAGCTTTCATCACAGTCAGGTTTCCAAACACCCCCCAAGGTACCTGCATGGCAGGGTCTTGATGGAACGAGACAGTCTGACGTTGGTAGTGATGAGTAATGAGGGGAGAGGAAGAATAGACTGTCCATGCAGATATCGCACAGCCTAAATGAAATGCAGTACATTGAAGTTAGCCATGCTTCTGATATTATTTTAAGTCGCTAACCCACTAGGTGCTCCTAGGTAGAAAGATAAGCCAATCTGCTACATAAAAGATTCACAGGCTTGAAAACCTCATGAGGCAGTTTGCCCTGGACTATAGGCTCACTCTGAGTCGGCATCAACTTAACTGTGAGCTCCCTGTGTGGCTGCCACCAAAATATTCCGCAGTCTTGGTGTCGAACACAATTTGTTGCGACTTCTGTCTGCTCTTTTGGTCTGAGAACACATTTTTAGCTAATATCAATAGTCTACCACTCTTACAGTCATTGCTTGCATGTTTCTATGGTGCTGGAAACTATGCCACAAGTATTTCAAATATGAGCAGGAATACCCATGGTGGATGGGTTTCAACAGAGCTTCCAGACTAAGAGAGACCAGAAAGAAAGGGGTGGAGATGCTTTAAAAATCAACCAAGGAAAACTATGATTCACAACGGAATTCAGCTGGTCCTCCTTTTATCAGAGGGTCCATTCCAACAGCTCCCTCAGAAGTTGGTCATCAGGATCTTTTAGAAGCTAATCCTCGTCTTTGGGACTTGGCAGGAGAATGATCATATCAGTAAATAACACGCTGCAACATTGCATACCATGCCTCTTATTAAGGATAAGATTATTCCGGAAAGAAAGAAATGAGGAACGGAGGGATGAGGAGAGGAGGAGGAAGGGAGGGAGAGAGGAGTCCATACATGGTTGTAAGTGCCATTTGTGGATCATTTGCACATGTTATAAATCAGGGGCTGCCTAAACCGTACAATAGCATACTAGAAAATGAACTTGCTGTGTTGGAAGACAATGCATAATAGCTGTTAACAACAGACTCAGCTATACCAGTAGTCATGGGAGTGGCGCTGTGGCATGCGATATTGTATTCGGTGGTTCATGGGGTAGATGGTACCAAATATAACGAGGACTAACAGTGTATGCTTCCTGGTTTTGTATTAGAGTCTCAACAAATCTTTAATAGGAGAAGAGGCGCCTGTCCTGATAACGTGTGTGTCCCCTTTTTGTCTCACAGAGGACCAAATTCCAAGGGGCTTCCCTACCATTGACATGGGCCCCCAGCTGAAGGTGGTGGAGCGCACGCGCACTGCCACCATGCTTTGCGCGGCCAGTGGGAATCCAGATCCTGAAATCACGTGGTTCAAAGATTTCTTGCCCGTGGACACGAGCAACAACAATGGCCGCATAAAGCAGTTACGATCAGGTAGGGTCTCGTTACTGTTTCTACTGACTCCTAAAGAATTAAAAGAAAATTCTTTTCTCTACTTTTTGATTATTTTCCTTTCTTTCTTTTATTTTTAATTTTTAGGTATTGATTTTCTCCTTCTTCTCTCTCTCTGTTATTTACTGTGTTGTCCACGTCTGTGCTGTCATAGCCTGTCCCAGAGTCCGTCTCTCTCCTTCTTTCTGTTCTGCAGCTTCTGTTTAATCCACCTTAATCACTGCTGTGACTGTATATTTTGATATATGTATATATTTATTTTTTATCTTTTGGTTAATTTACTGCTCTCCTGCAGTACCTGACAGATCCATTTCCTCCTGTTTATTTTCTTCTTTGTTTTCTTTTGAACCAAATTTATCTCAACATTGGACTTCATTCAGAACTGTCAAGAAGCTCCAATGGTTCTGTCCATTAATTAAATGTTCATAGGAAACACTAACATGATTTAATTTATGCAAGCCTGTTTTCTGCCGTCTTTTCCACATTTGACCTCATCACGGTACCAAAGTGTAGTAAGTTTGGACCCAGCTGCTCTCTCTTCATGAACACATACAGCACAGAACCGCCAACCCAAGACGAACCAGATGTATTTTTCAAAAAGTGAATGTGCAGCACAGCACTGCGGGCAGGAGGGGATTTGGGTTAATCTGGGTACGATACCTGTGAGTGAGCCTTTTCTACACGGTAGCCATGGTAGTGTGCGCCCAAGCTGTAGTTTATTTTTATGTTCATTTTTTTGAGCCCTCCAGGGCCTGGATCTACAGACGTCTGCTTTCGGTGTAGACTCCAGGTCTTGCCCATTTCTCGCTCTTCATCCCTGTTGCCTGCCCCCTCCCCAACCCCTGCTCTGAGTTTATCCCTTTACTTTCTTTAGAGTAAAACTAGCGATGGGTCTCAAATTCCGTTCGTTTTCTACTCTGTCCCCTCGTGAATGGCATGGGACCTAGATTCATAAGGCTGTTTACGTTGACGTTTGGTAGTAATGTTGCTATAGAATTCTAAGTTGTTTTAAATGCCTGTCTTCCCAGAATTCTCAGCTTTTGACCTGTCCTGTCTCGTTAACTGCCTCTCTATGCTTGTTGTCAGCAGAATTGTGTAGATTAGCCTTCTGTTGTTGTAAATAAAGAATTAACTTGTTCACCTGTAACATAGATGATTTAGTAGTGTATAATAAAGCTTTAACTCTGAAAAATTTGTACCAAATTCTAAGGAATATAATAATATTTTTATGCTGTCTCTCTTCTCTCCGTATTTAAATCTCCAGAATCTATTGGTAAGTGCTTAGTTCTGAAGCGCACTTCACCCCCCTCCCACTAATTTCCGTGTTCAGAATATTATTATTATTATTATTAATAAAATGCATGGCATGCATTTTACTAACTGTCAGTGTAGACACCAGGACTGCGTAGCGGCGCGCACAGACACACCTCCACAGAATTGTTATGGCTGAGAGTACTGTGTAGATGAATAAAATAGTGCACAACTTATAGCCCACAACTATAGCAGAGCAGGGAGCACAAGTTGAACCCGTCAGCCGTATTAGTTTTCAGTCAGCCTTTGGAATTTCTGACAGTATATATATAAACATAGCTCTATATATATACTAAAATAGATTAGCTAGTGTATTCCTAAACTGTGCTTTTAAAAAGATTGTATAGATCCTCCTTTTTTTTTTTTTTTTACTTTTTGTTTGTTTGTCTTAAAGGGATACAAGGCCTTTGAGATATCATTCTAACCCTGTTAAACCCCACCAGACATAAGAACACAGTTGCTTCTCTGAGCAAAGCAATGATGCCTATTGAGGTCTTTGCCCTCTGGTATAATGCAACTTGCTTCTATGATCTAATAATACTATCTAATATATTCCTGTTTTACCAGTCTAGTAATTCAAGTTTCTTTTAAGACCTTATTGAATTCTGTAAATCTAATTTAATTCTTCTCCCCAGCCCTAGCCTCCTTCTTCTCGTACTAATGCTTCTTCTTTCTAATCTTATTTGCATTCATATTATCCACCCAGGTGGTACACCAATAAGAGGTAAGAGTGCTGACCTAACGTTCACAGAATGATCTTACTCATTCTTCCTGCCCTCCCATCCCTCTCATCTTTGTCCTGTTTCCCAAGCCATCCCAAGAACGCCCATACACTTGATTTCCTCACCGCTGTGCGTTCCTTTTCGTACTGTTGGGTTATGATCGGTAACTCTCATATTGTGAACTTTCCTTTCTTTTTTTGCTTTCCTTTCCTTTTTTTACCCTTTCCTCTTTGTTTCGTCGTTCATTTCTTTCTTTCTGGAACCAATTCTTTAAGTTGTGATATGCTTCAGAGGAAGCATATCCCGGTCTTCAAACCTCAGACCAGTCACAGCGTACCATCTGTCCCTGTTTTTTCTCTTTTTCTTTTTCCTTTTCTTCTTCCTCCTTTT